CATTCAAGAACAAAGCATATTGATGTCCACCATCATTTCATAAGAGATCACCAACAAAAAGGGGACATTTGCATTGAGAGTGTGGGCACCAAAGATCAACTTGCTGATATCTTCACCAAGCCACTTGATGAGAAGAGGTTTTGCAAGCTAAGGAATAAATTGAACATACTTGACTTCTCCAATATGTGTTGATGCACCCCCCATTATATGACATGCCTCTTCTTCGAGCAAAGCAAGGTAAAGTTGATTGACATGTCGTCTATCCATTGCTAAGGACTTGTTTAGTGCATCTAGTCATTCCTATCAGTCCTAGGCTCATTCATGAAAATCAAATGAATTTGATGCTTGTATGGTATCACTATTGCTTGTATGTTTGAAATGATCTAGTGGTAGCATATGACATGTTTATGGGCTTGTAAACCTAGTGCTTGATCTAGAAAATAAGCTATAAGTGTTTAACTCAACATGGTACAAGATAACCATTATTTAGAGGTGTGAAGAAGCTTGTCCTTAGATCAAACCAAGTTAAATACCTTTTACAAGTGATCTAGATTGAACCAAATTGGAAAAATGATCCTCATTTCACATGATTTCACCTCAACCTATCTATAATTTGAGCTCACCTTTTGTGTTAATTGTTGACAAAGGGGAAGAGAAATTCACAAAGATAGTAAGATAGGAGGAGGAGCAAACAAATCAAATGACATTGTAAGATGATCAATCAAAAATACACACAAGTAGGGGGAGCAAGCTCATAAACTTGTATGTTGTATTTGAATGTGCATTTCATATATTTGCTTGCATGGCACAAGTTTTAAATTTCAATATCCATGCTTGTGTGGTGTATGCTAGCTATATGCTTGAATGGTAAAATGAAAAACTAGCATGCATAGGCTAAAGTAACTAGACTTATGTTCATCATATGAAAACTAGATCCTTGCTTGTAATGTTGATCTTATGGGGTATTCTAGTTTTTATGTATGTCTAGTTACTAATGGTGCCAAGGATGGTATATTGGTGCACTTTGATTGGTATCACGGTTCAAAGGTCCATCTCTTATACCTTAGCATCATTTGGTAGAAATTATCTCCTATATTTCCTATCTAAGCATATGGGCAAGCTATAATCTAAACTCTTAGCACATATGTAGGGGAGCAATTGCTACCATTGGGAATTCATGAAACTTGTCCATATTCTTTTACACATGGTAAATATGCTTGGACAAGCAACATGAATTCAATTAAATTTTAATTCATATCTTTGTGTAAGGGTTGTCATCACTTACCAAAAAGGGGGAGATTGAAAGCTCTAGTTTGGTTTTGGTTAATTGATGAAACCCTAAGTGCTAACCTAGTTTATCAAAGTGATTATGAGATAGGTAGCACTACTCCAAGTGAGGATGCAATAGCGAAGATCATGACAATGGTGATGGCATGGTGATGATCAAATGCTTAAACATGGAAAAGAAGAAAGAGAAAAACAAAAGTCTCAAGGCAAAGGTATAAATAGTAGGAGTCATTTTGTTTTAGTGATCAAGACACTTAGTGAGTGTGATCACATTTAGTATCGATAGTCGTACTATTAAGAGGAGTAAAACTTGTATTAAAATGTGGTTATCAAAGTGCCACTAGATACTCTAACTCATTGCATATGCATTTAGGATCTAGTGGAGTGCTAACACCCTTGACAATATTTGTGAAAATATGCTAACATATGTGCACAAGGTGATACACTTAGTGGTTGGCATATTTGAGCAAGGGTAAAGAAGATAGAGGTGAAAAGGAGTTAGTCTCGCTGGTCATACAGTGACCGGACGCTGGGTCACTCAGCGACCGGACGCTGGAAGGTTGCGTCCGGTCTTGCTGTCGAGCAGCACATAGAAGCGTCGTCGAGTGACTGGACGCTAGCTGTGTCCGGTCAAGGGTGACCGGACGCGTCCGGTCGAGAAAAATCATCTCTAGATGCTTACTGGAAACGACCGGACGTTGGGGGGTCAGCGTCCGGTCATCAAATGACCATTGTGATCGGGCGCTCAGCATTTAAAGAGAGGGGACACGTGGCACACATCATGTGACCGGACGCTGAGGTCCAGCGTCCGGTCAATATGACCGGAGCGTCCGGTCACCCCGTGATGTGCCCAGTGAAGGGGCACAAGGGCTCTATTTCGTGGGGGCTTCTATTTAAGCCCCATGGCCGGCTCAAGCTCACTCTCTTGGCTATTTGCATTGACATAGCAGCCTTGTGAGCTTAGCCAAAGTCCTCCCACTCATCTCCATCATTTATTCATCATCTTTGTGAGATTAGGAGAGAATCCAAGTGCATTGCTTGAGTGATTGCATCTAGAGGCACTTGGTGTTCGTGTTTTGCTGCGGGATTCGCTTTCTTGCTCTTGGTGGTTGCCACCACCTAGACGGCTTGGAGCAGCGGAGGAGGATTGGCACGAGTTGGTGATTGTTTGTGGGCATCTCCGGTGATTGTGAGGGGATTTGTACCTTCCCCGGCGAAGCCCCGAAAGGTAACTTTAGTGGATTGCTCGTGTCATTGAGTTACCTCACTTGTGGATAGGTTCTTGTGGTGTCCAAATTGTGTGGACGAGGTTTGTGCAACACCTCTTAGCCGTCGAACCACCAAGTGTTGGTCAACACAACGGGGACGTAGCGTGTTGGCAAGCACGTGAACCTCGGGAGAAAATTAGTTGTCTCTTGCCGTTTGCTAGTCTCCCGATGATTGATTTAATATTCACCTTGTGATTGGTTCACTCCTCTACACGGCGGTATAATCCCCCTACTCACTCATTTATATTCTTGCAAACTAGTTGGGGCAAGCTCTTTAGTGTAATTAGAATTGAGAGCTTGCTTTGTTATTTTAAGTTCATCTAGTGGAGCTCTTTAGAGTAGCAAGATTGAAAGCTCTTAGTAAGTAGTAACATTGCAAGTTGTGTGCCTAGTAATCATTGCAACTAGAATTATTGGATAGGTGGCTTGCAACCCTTGTAGAGTTAGAGGAAGTTTGTTTTTCGCTATTTGTCATACTAATCAAATTGCTCTAGTAGATTTATAGATTTTTAAATAGGCTATTTACCCCTCCTCTAGCCATATTAGGACCTTTCACCTTCCAGATATGTTAGAACACAAACAGTGTTGTGGGCGTCGACATTTGCCTTACAGTGTTGTGGGCGCCGTCATTTGCCATACCAGACGAACACGGTAAAGCCTGCCACATGCGTCTGACATAAACAATATTGTGGGCATCGACGACGTCTTGTACCTGACAGCGTGGGCAACAAGACTTAGGAGCACACAAGCACACACTCTCTCTCACTTGTAAGGCCATCCCCTTCATCTATAAAAAAGGATGCGCTCTCTCCCAACGGAGGACGGTTATTCTGACTCTCTCTCTCTCTCTGCTAAGCTTTAAACATCTAAGCACTCGAACAGCTCCATAACTGTAGAACTCTAAAGCTACACAGAGCATACGTTTCAATACTTAGCGCATGTTTGAGCTCCCGTCACTCTTGGCCCTTCGGTTCAGAGCCCGACCAGACATTTAACACCCCCTTCTTATTTCCACTCGTTTGTAACCTCACAACAAACTTCGAGCACCTAGGCTCAGGAATAAAGTCACCGACCGACTAGAACTGGACGTAGGGCATGTTGCCTGAACCAGTATAAACCCTGTGTCATTAAGTGCTATGTCACATCTGGTCACAATGCACGGCAAAACTACAAATGTTTACTTGTTGGTCACTTTTTGCACCGACTGCTAGAGTTCCAAATCGTATCTCACTTTAGGCCTTGTTTGCATGTTGTCAGATTCACCTAAATCCACATGTGTTGGGATGGATTAGGGTAAAATTTAGTTCAAGTTTCACTCCAATCTACTTTAACACATGTGGATTGATGTAAATCCGACTACATCTAAACAAGGCTTAAGCGATAAAAAAAACGCAGCTGTCCACCTTGCACAGATTTGAGATGGCGTATGGTCCTAGACCAACGACAACTGCCCAAGCTCCCATGAGTGGCAAAGTATGATCTCAGTCTCACAGCAGTGACGCGTTGTGACAACGAGTGTGAGAGTTCCTTTTATAGTATTCTTTAGATATATTTGTATTGATCGGAATCCATGTATGTTTATTTTTCATCCGATTTACTCTAAAACGTTGATTGTAGTGAATAAGAGTATATTCAAACAAACTCTAAACAGTGTGATCACTTTTTACTTGTCTCTTATTAGGATGAGGATGGACTGTAGGGCCAAGGCCCCTCCAGTTCTCTCAAAAAAAAAAGATGAGAATGGACGGATTAATCTATTCTATTTTATATAAAAAGATATGAATTGATAAAATAATAAATTAATTTATTTCTCAAACTAAACAGGCGACTTAGCATAGAAGATTAAATATGGAATGCCGTTGGAGATCGGAGTGGTATATAGATTGTTCACTCATATAAGGCGATATATGTGATTTACAGCCATTCTATACGCACTCTTGGGCTTGCGAAGAAATATAGGACGTGTGGCCCAAACCAGCCCATTTGGACCATATAAACGCTGCCAACCGCAGGCGGCACGCCGATAAGCCAAGGCCCAAGGGCCAAGGGAGTAGGAAGCATGCGTCTGGGTCGAAGCCGTAGGTGGTGGGTGGACACGAGTGCCATGGCTCATCTCACACGTGTCTGACACGTGCTACCCAGCGAAAAGCGATTCGACTCGACGCATCACTTCTTCGTGCCGCTGGAGCTTTCAAGAACGTACACTGTGTTGCTCAGGCTCGTGTCTGTCCCAAAGCGATGCCAGGACGCCACGTCCAAGCTAAACATCCGATGCCATTGCCACCTGCCCACTCTTTGTATAAAAACGCACCCTCTGCCCAATCTTCGCTGTCCCATCAGCCGAGCAACTCTTTGCTTCTCGCGGACACTTGCGTTTCCATCGAACCCAGCACACCGCGTCGCCGTTGGTTCCCTCGGTTGATCGACCGAACTGAAGGAGGAGAGATGGGCAAGTCCTGGGCGCTCATCAGACACCTCCACACCGTCGCCGGGTATGTTCCCTTGCAGTTTGTTGCCGATTCGTCCATCGTTTCTTCATCCCGGTGTCCTTGGAGCTTCGATCATCTTTGATTGATTGCAACCGTTGCCTGATGTCCCCGTTTGTTGGTTGTTCCTCTGTTCCATGCATTTTGCAGGCCGAGCATTACCCTGCTGTACCCTCTGTAAGTTTTATCACCTTATCAGTGCAGCGGTGACCACACCACGGCGTGAGAATCATGTTGGGGACATGCATGCATGGTGCCTGGTGCAGGTACGCGTCGGTGTGCGCCATGGAGAGCCCGTCCAAGGTGGACGACGAGCAGTGGCTGTCCTACTGGATCATCTACTCCTTCATCACGCTCCTGGAGATGCTCGCCGAGCCGCTCCTCTACTGGATCCCCGTGTGGTACCCGGCGAAGCTGCTGTTCGTGGCCTGGCTCGTGCTGCCGCAGTTCAAGGGCGCCTCCTTCATCTACGAGAAGCTCGTCAGGGAGCAGCTCCGCAAGTACCCGCGCAAGGGCAAGGGCAAGGGCAAGGGCGACGTCGACGACGATGACCACAAGGTGCACATAGCCAAGGTAGGTAAGGATGCGATAAAGCCATCACGATATGCTGTAGCTGTTCTCTGCCCTCTGGGCGTGTTTAACTTGTGGTGTTTCTTCCTGTTGGGTTGGGGAAAATTGCTAGGCTGAGCACGACCATGTGCAGTGAAAGTGCGACGACGACGGGAGCTGACCAGAGATCAGAGGAGCGAGCTGCTGTAGATTTGGTGCTGTTCATGTATCCTTCCTAGATATCTCTGCTGTTCTTGTATCTGAAGTTCTGAGCTGTGTGTGACCCCCTTGAGTTGGAACGAAATGCTTCTGTAAGAACCATAAGATGTAGACAAGCTAAGTGCCTCAGCTCCTTGAGTAAAATTTCATGTTTACAGAAGCCGAATTTTTTATTTTTCAGTTTTTTTTAAAAAAATATTCACAAATAGACTCATGTGATTTGATTTTCGTTTATGGGCCTGACCTCGGCGTCATGGCTTACATCTCGGCGCCATAGCCAGGGTCTTAGCGAGGCATTGGACGTGGCGGTGACCTAGCACCGACGTGGATAAGGCATCGGCGCCATAGATCTTGGCGTCGAGCTATTACCCTATAAATCTCGGCGTTTGAAATAAAAGAAATATAATTGTTTCGAAGAACATGTAACAACGGTATTGTGGTGGTATCGTGGTTCAACTTGTTAGGATGCACGCCTAGGTTTGAATTTCAGCGTTGAATCTTTTTTTTTTTTGCTATATTTTTATAAGCAATAGAATAAGAAAAAATATTTCGAGGAACATGCAATGATCTCACAAATGTAGCGCTGGGGTTCAGCTGGGTTCGAAATAATTCGCCTCGGCTGTGTGTATTTGGTTTCCTCGCCTCGGCTGTGTGTATTTTGGTTTCCTTGCCTGAGTGTTTCGGGGTCTACGCAGGAAAAGATTTGGCTTGCTGGCGTGAGAGTATGTCCTACAGCTACACTGTAACATGATAGAACGCAATGAGTTCAGCATGATAGAACACAGAGTGCACGGTGATACAGCAAGCACGGTGAAGGCCAGTACCTTGTTATCAGTTAACAGATACTGTAACATGATAGGACGCAATAGTACAGTAGTACACGGTGTTAACAGTGTTGCATCCTGGAGATCAAGGAAACCAACTTTGCACAGAAAGGAGGATGTGAACTTCAGCCTCTTATTAAAGGGTTCCAAGACCTGAGCAATTGCTACCTAGAAAAAAAGAAGCATTGGAAATACTTCTAAAAGGTTGAAAGAATGAAAACTCCAAATTCCAATTTGGTTGCTTGCAGCAGAATTTAGAGTCAACAGAGGCATCACAAAAAATCCTAGGTGTTGAGAGAATGAAAACTCCAAATTCTAGTTTGGTTGCTTGCAGCAGAATTTTGAGTCAAACAGAGGCATCAAAAAAAAAACCTAGGAGCACCGTGAGGGGGCCAATTTTCAGCAAAAGATGTGTTGCACCATGTCTTGGCAGGACATGCATGAATTTGTGGTTACAAACTATTCATACATACATGGTACAGTTTGTACAGCGACCGAAAAAATGATCTGCCGTTGCTATGATTCAGAGAACATTATCTGCGACGAGACTCGAACTAAACGAATGAGTAGTTCAGATTTCTATAACTCGTGAACCATCTCGATCCTCAGATGTTTTCTGCTGTGTGACATGTCATATACATAGTACCGAATCATGCATCAGAAAAAAGCAATTAACCACATTGTTTCCTTTCCTGGGCCTGCAAAATGGAAAAGCATCTATTAGTTCAAATAAGAAAATCATAAATATATTTTGAACTAAAATGTGGTTTTTTTATAATTGAAGACTGCAAATAAATAATCAATAAATTTCAAATTGATAATAGCAGGTACAGATTATACCCCTCACTTTTCTTTTCATCTCGGCCACAGATCAAGGATGCATGGCTTATGATGGGCTGCTGGTTGAAATACGAAACTTATATTTTCAAGGTATTTATCTTTTAGTTTTCTAAAAGAAAAGGAGAGCATATGCCGTCATCATAACATCATGGCTCAAGAGCATAGCACACCGTGCATGGCTCGGCCGGCGTTTGACGCTGAGCGATTCAGCACCGGGCCGCGCGGCCACGAGTGCGCCCGAGTCGTGTCGCGCCATATCCTGCTCCACACCAGTGCATGAACGGTCGTGGTGCATCCAGGCTTGGCGCGGATTTGACGAGTCCGGCGTGAGAGGCCGCCGCACCTCCGTGAGCTCCTGGGCAAGAGACGAGCCGCCAGCCGCGAGCGAGTATAGAGGGGCATTTGGTACTTCCGAAAGAAACATGGCAGGGTCAACACAGTCAACTGACGGATAAAGGGCAGATCTAGTGCCGGAGGCTCCCACATGAGTGGGGTCCTACAGAAGAAAATTTTAACTCGATGCTAAATAAGAAAGTTCAAAATTTTTAGTACTAAATAAAGAAGACTGATTTGTTTCGGTGCCAAATACATAATTCTCTCAAAGAAATAATGTAGTACAACAAGAAGAACCCAGTTACCTGGTAATTTTTTAGAATTTGGTTTGCTCTCTGGATAACCACTCCAAACTTGTCAAGGAATTCTCCGTGCTATCAGCATAAAGATGCATAATTATTCTCCGGTAACTGACTAAAGTCAAACAATTCTTAGTCAAATATGGAATGCACTCAAATGATAAAAGGGTAGAGAAACATGACTTACTGTAGCTTCTTTGGAGCCCATTACTACAATTGTTGAGCCCTTGCTCCTTGATTTCCTTGTCTTGATAACAATGTCTTCAACTTTGCCAAATTTCTGGAAGAGCTCCTCCAACTTTGCCGCATTGTACGAATCAGCACTCCCATCCCATGAAACCTTCAAGATCTTGCCCTTGTCCGTTTTCACCCCGTCCTGTGGGGTTCCACCCTTCACCATGCGCCTGAACACATAACCAAATTGTGGAAATTGTTAACCAATAAATATCAATGACTCTATTGGACAACCTCTTGCTTAGCCTTAGCACGGACTAGATAGGTACAGCTACAACCAATTTCCCCTCTGATCAAACTACTCACCAATAGCCTTGAAGAAATGCGATGCTTCAGGTGAACCATAATGTAAATGAGTCACAATTCAGGAATTTTCCCGATACCCAGGATCCAGAACATATTAATTTCTAATCCAATAAAATGGAAAAACAATAGCATGGCAAGACTGCATTCTATCCAATTCCCAGCCTCTTGCACATCTTAGCATGGACCAGATAGGTACAAGTACAACTACAACCAATTTCCCCTCTAATCTAATCACACTACTCACCAATAGTCTTCAAGAAAAGTGGTGCTTCACGTGAAGCAATATGTATATATGAAACAAAATTAGGCCTCGTTCGGTTACCACAGTTCCTGGCCAGAATCATTCCTGAGCTACGGGTTCTTCAATATTTTGAATAGCACCGGAACCATTCCTGGCCAGGAATGGCCGGGAACAGCGTAACCGAACGGTGCCTTAAGGCCTCGTTCGTTTTGGCCCGGAATGGCCCGGATCGCGGCCTGATCCGCCCGGATCGGCATGGCCCTGTTCGAAGCCAGGTTGGACCAGGAATAGCCGTTCGGTTAGATACGGCCTGGAAAAGAAACTGGCCAGGTTTGGCCATTCCGCTCCCTCCACGGCCCGGAACAAAGCCACACCTCCTACCTTTCAGATCGGCCCGGATCGGCATGGCCCGGTTCGAAGCCAGGTTGGACCAGGAATAGCCGTTCGGTTAGATACGGCCTGGAAAAGAAACTGGCCAGGTTTGGCCATTCCGCTCCCTCCACGGCCCGGAACAAAGCCACACCTCCTACCTTTCAGATCGGATCCTGGAGGAAGGCGGCGCGAGGTACGACGCGAGAACTAGAGGCGAGGCAACCACGAGCTCCCATAGTGGAGGCGACGACGACGGTGACCGCGACGCCATCGACTCCAACCATACATCCTTCCCCTTCCTCATCCTTCTCGCTGGTGATCCCCTCACTCTCCCCTTCGTCCTCGTCTTCTCTCCCTCTAGGGTTCTTGATCCTGGACAACGAGCACGATGATCTAGTTCTAGTTGAGATCCGCGGTGCGGGTACGCGAGATATGGATTAAATTTTGCGCTAGTGAGCTCTCCTCTTCCTTCCCCTTTTTTCTCCCTGGTGCTGCCTAGGGTTCATAGTTCTTGAAGTCAAGATTCTTTTTCTTATAAAGTATTGAAGCCTCGATTGGTTAATGATGAGTTGATGCAATTGCTTGGGTGTTTTGTTTACACACTGTTCCTTGTGTTCTGATTACAAAGTCGCTAGGTGATTCCTGACAGGGGTTAGAAAATGTGGGTAGGTTCTTAGGTGGTGCTGAGTTGTTATATATGACAAATATATTGCGGTCCTAAATGAGAAGGTAGATGCCTAACATGATGCCTGTTATGTTTAATTGTGGTGCCTTCTTACTGTATGAGTTTTGTCACCATATCCTGATATCCATGTGTCATGAGTTATGCAACTGCAAAGACAACTTATTTAGCAACTTTAGTTTGACTGAAAATTAACCATTTGATGTGAGATGACGTATTGTTTTGTTTTGTTTTCCAAAAGAGAGAAAAAAGGCACTGATTGGACCAAAGACTTGTACAGGTAGCAGAGTACTAGTAGCATACTCCTAGTAGCAAAATTGAAGTTGACGTACTACAATATGTCATAATCCATGCTAGCTTATTTTGTGTTAATTGTGACCATGGCTGCTGCTGAAATGCTGTAACTTATATTCAGTTTCTGAACTTCATTATGACCATGGCTTACTCCTAGATGCTTACTCATGTTTTGAGTGAATTCACATTGCAAGCTTATTTTGATTTGCTCTTTTTTGCAAACACGCGCCAGGGAAAGGAATGTCCCTTTGTTTCAGTCTGTAGTGAAGACTGAAGTTGACATACCTAGCCTATTAGCTCACTTTGTTACTTGTATTATTATCTAGATGATGTCTTGATTTGCCAAATGGTTTCTTATTACTTGTAGATCTCTCCAGCACCATTTAGAGTTGGGGAAGGTGAACCTCCGCCTTCTTGGGATCCGGTACCAACTCCAAAAGGTACTCCAAAAGCTTTTATATGACTATAAGTTTATATATGCTTCTATAAGACGACTATAATCTTTATTACAGCTTCTATATGACATGGTCAATAATATAACTTCTATATGACATGGTTAATAATATTTAGCTTCTATATGACTATAAAATTGTATGCTTCAGTCCTACAATGCGTCTCTCACTACGAGATCATATTAGAAAGAGGAGGGAGGAAGAAGACGATGACATGATGCTATTTATTTTCCCCGCCTTATATCTTATGAGTTCTGCTAGAGGAGGGGAAAAGAAGAAACGTCATACTTCAGAAGAAACATGCGAGGTTAAAGTTCGTAGACTCCTCGAGGGACATGTCAAGAACTGTCAAGTTGCATTTAGGATGGAACCATGCATCTTTAGAGAATTGGCAAATTATCTTAGAAGCAAAAGGCTTGTTGTTGATACTAGGATAACTGTGGAGGAGAAGTTGGGTTTCTTCCTATACATGTTAAGTCACAATGCCTCGTATGAGGATCTCCAAGTGTTCTTTGGGCACGGCAATGACACCTTCCATCATCACATCAACCACTTCTTCAAGGTGGTCATTCCCGCACTCTCTCGCTGTTACCTTCAAGCTCCTGATCCTAATCAAGTGCATAAAAAAATTCAAGACAATCCTAGATTCTATCCATTTTTCAAGAATTGTCTAGGTGCCATTGATGGAACTCATATTCCTATTTCCATAGCCTCTGAGAAAGCTTCTCCTTTTAGAAATAGGAAGGGCATGCTAAGCATTAATGTGATGGTGGCATGTGATTTCGATCTCAACTTCACTTTCATTTCTAGTGGATGGGAGGGATCGGCTATAGATTCCAGAGTGCTACGATCAGCTATGAGCAAGGGCTTCCAAGTACCTCCAGGAAAATTCTATCTGGTTGATGGAGGGTATGCAAATACTCCATCTTTTCTTGCTCCATATCGAGGAGTTCGATACCATTTGAAAGAATTTGGGGCTGGACATCGAAGGCCGCAGAACCCAAAGGAGCTCTTTAACCACCGCCACGCACTACTGAGGAACCATGTGGAAAGGGCTTTGGGGGTGCTTAAGAAGTGCTTCCCCATTCTGAAAGTTGCCACATT